TATATATATATATATAGTACCAAAAGACCTTCCTAAAACTGTTTGCATCCATGGGTGCAGGTGGACTGTGCTGTTCTGTTTTCCGCTCTCCCCCTTCCTCTCGGTCCATCTTCATCACATCCAGTGTTTGCGTTGTGCGCCTTTAAGCGACCCCCTCTACCTCCTCCTGCAGCGCGCATGGATCCGCCTTGAGTGCTCCCCTTGATGGGGACCACTCTTTGCCTTTTWAACCTGAGCCGCGCGGTGCCGAGATCCCCGCGGGGAGTCAGGCGCATACTTCAACCCCGGGGCAGCTGAGGGGAAAAAAAATAAACACATCGGTCTGCTTATACGAGCAAGAGACCCCCCCTGCTGGGACAGCCTCCTGCGTTTCAGTAGGTCTGGTGTGTTTCAGCAGCACCACAGCTCCCCATTCTCAGACCAGTCAGCTCAGTTATTTCACTGAAGATTTATTTTTAGCAAGAAAGAGGAAAGTAAAAGTTAAATTCAGAGGTGACCCAGGTTTACAAGCTGATGGACAAGTCCTGTTGATTTCATGGAGAGCTAAACGTGATTAAAACGAGACCAAAACTGAGAACTACAGCATGTCTGAGCTTAAGCAAGAGTGGTTTAATCCAAAGGAATTCCACTTGTTTTGTTTGCTTTGCAATAAATCCAAAAGGAGGAAAAAAACATTATGCAATACTGAACTGGAATAAATTTGGATGAAAAAAAAAGAGAAACTGTCCCAGCGAAACTTCTCACTGTGTTTGCACAAGAATACATGATTTAATACCACCCACCATCCTCCCACTGAACTTGCATGTTTTAAAAAGTTTCCCTAAAGTCTCCTTCTCCTGTAGTATTATGTTACAGCTCTCCTCACCCAATCGTAGAATCCTCCCCCCAACCCCCCAAAATCCTCCTGCCTGCTCTCCGCTATAAGAGCCGCGGTCCTCCCAGCCTGGCAGACACCTCTCCCCTCCCTGATGCGCACCAGATTTCAGGATCCAGATCCAGCGCAGGCATTATATTACTTGATGCTGTGACCACTTTAGTGGATTTGGGTTCAAACAGTCCAAAAAAGAAGGGGAAAAAGGCAAGTAAAGAGGGTTTTCAAATGCGGGAAGAGGACTCCTCCCCGATGGACAGCGCTGGGAACAGCGAGGAGGAGAGCGAGCGTCAGCTACCGCGGAGAGGCGCGAGGAAGAGGCGGACGACCCGGAGGAGCTCGGACGAAGGGGAGGAGGGGCGCGCGGAGAGTCCCAGCCCGGGCAAGAAGAGAGCCAGGAAGGGCTGCGACGACGGGGGCGGAAGCGCCGGCAGCGGCTGCAGCGAGGCCAGTTGCAGCCCCGCGCGCTCCTTCGACGACCTGCAGACGCAGCGCGTCATGGCCAACATCCGCGAGCGCCAACGGACGCAGTCCCTCAACGAGGCGTTCACGTCGTTACGTAAGATCATCCCCACCCTTCCGTCCGACAAGCTCAGCAAGATCCAGACGCTGAAGCTGGCGGCCCGGTACATCGACTTCCTGTGCCAAGTTCTGCAGAGCGACGAGCTGGACGCGCGAGGATCCAGCTGCAGCTACGTGGCGCACGAGAGACTGAGCTACGCCTTCTCCGTTTGGAGGATGGGGGGCTCGTGGAGCTTGTCTACTACGTCCCACTAGCTGGATCCAGGTTGTTGGTGTTGGCTGGCATGGCTTGGGTAAGCTGACCCACTTTTACTCTCCACCCAGCAGAAGTGTGCCAAAAATTACTCTGTGCGCATTTTACGCACAGGCTCTAAATGAGAAAAAAAACATTCTTTAGGTTCAGTACTTGATTGGCGCCTCTTGTATTCGTTTGTGCCAGCAGGCARCAAAAAAATAAAAAATAAAAAGTCCAACAATGCACTTTAACAACAAAATTAATCGTATTTGTCATACAATATCTGAGGTTTTATGAGCACTTTACTTACCTGGTGTCATGTTTGTTTCTGTTCACATGTGCAATCAAAATATGTAACTGAGTTTCTTTCTTGTGGTTTCTTTCACAGATTTCCCAAACTGAAGAACAAAGAGTTCAGACAATAGAACTCTTGAAATGGGCCAAAAAAGCAGCTGAATCCCAGGATCAGCTGCTTTGCTTCAGGCCTGAGGAGGAAGGCCGCCCCCTTTTCTATTTCCCTTTGCATGGACTGTGATGTGTGCAAGGGAGCACTTACGGGACAGTCAGGATGCATGAAGGAAAGAAGACCACTGCGACTATGAATGTTGTCAAACCAAATCGAGCTCAGACGACCTGCTCTGTTTTGAACCACGAGAGACAATCCAGTCCACATTCCCTGTGACAGCGTTTCACACAAACTGAAGTATGTTGTATTTATTTTTCCAAGCAATCTTTTGCTGTTTTTCAAATAAAAGTTATTTATTTTGTGATGTCACAGAGCGCCGAGCAAATCTGGACTTTGAACATTTTGTGTGTTGTAAATATTTGGAAAAAGATGAATAAAAAAGGGTTTTGATATTGCTAATTTTTCCTCAGTTGTCAAAATTTTTGTGAAGCTTTTTTCAGTAAAATGCTACATTCAATGAGCTGAACTCTCAAATATCAGCTGGAGTTTGAGAGAAGGTAATCTTGCACACAAGTCAAAACAAAATACCAAAAAAGGTTAAATTGTCACATTCATGGAACCTGCTGATTTTCATTGATTGTTGAGATGGAGCAAAGGAAGATATGAAATACTTGAATATTCTTAAGTGATTTGGGGATCTGGGAAATCCATAATGAGTCAGCATTCTGACTGGACATGATGAATTGGGAGCTGTGGAAAACGTACGATATTCCCAGATGTCCTCAGAGCTAGAAGCCAAATATGAAAGTCGCTTGCTTGCAGGTGCTACAGCAGCTATATCAGGAGTTTTGACCAATAAATGTGAACATGGGTCATATTGACTAACAATTTGCTTTGGCTTAGATTTCATAACTGTTAAGAGAAAAACAAGATGCAGTTAAAAATGATGCAACCGTTGCATAAGGTTGCTGGGTTTTTTTTTTTTTTTCAATCTTAATTTTCCAAATAAATGATGAGTTGAACCCAATTCTTTGTTGGAACATCAAGCCATGTTCAAAGAAAGATGAGTTCAGGCTATGCCATGGAAACACCAAATGGGACAAATAAAAGGATTTTTCACAAAGAAAAAAAATAGACATTTGGTTTCCTGTAAAATACAGTGATTTACATAGCTTCTTCAAATATTAAAACAATTCAACATGGTTAAAGAGGGGGAAAGTCTACATTTATAT